AAATTTCCGCGGGGCAACTATCAACCGATAGTTCCTCGACAGAAACACTCTATTGTTTAAATAGAAATCTCGAGCTCGTAATCTAATTGTTTAATATAAGCCTTAACCGATAAGCCGATAAACTGCAAACATTTTCGCTGCCCAAATATAGCAACCTTCCGAGATCTTCCAAAAGTAGCGATAGGAAAAGGCTCTTAAATCCGAAAGTGACGAGAGACCATCGGAACTTAACGATATCTCCTTCGTTCCTTCGTGTAGCATACAGCATCTGCACTCTAGGCTTGCTTAATTCGTAGACCTCAATATTTCGTCGCGGTCAATTCGTTTCAAGTCACGTGGTCATTCGCCTCGGATACGTCACCGAAATTTACCGTGAAGGGCTAGGAGAAAAAATTTAGGTTCTGGCAGACTACCACCTACTTTTTTTTTTTCCCCGTTCGCGAAGAGTTGAGACATAAGTATATATGCAAAATAAACGCTTTCCGCTTTTGTTAAGTCGATCTACCGATCAATTGAATTGAACCAAATTTTATAGTGTGGTAATAAATATACATAAATTAATGCAGTTAAATGTTTATCCCACCGCAGTACCGAATTACGTATACTTAATCACACCAGTTTCAGCGCAGCGTTCTCTGAGAGTGTCTGAACATTCTACTGACATCGTCTTTGCGAGTCTGTCTTTGTCTTTGCGGAGATCGGTGTGCACTACTTTTGACCATGTTTGAATCAATTTCTTTACGCTATATATAAAAATGTTTATTACACATGAATAATAGTCATAATACCAAGATTTTAATACCAATTAACAGAAGATGCTTTTTCACATTAGCGGTCATGAATACACGCCAACACCGCTATATAAGCTTAAGTGAAGAACGTCAAGTGTTGAGCTTTATTTTTTGATATGAGGCATTTGCACTGTTAAGTTCTCACGACCCCACTGTGGGGATTTTGTATGGACCATCTGCTACACAGTGGGGCATTTGCCACTTTATGAAAACAAAATGTCAAAGGGCCGTGCAACGCTGGCGGGGGATGGGTGGGCTTCATGGAATTGACAGAGCCATAAGAGTCGCACGGGGCTAAACAACGAGAGAGACAACTGGCATACAAAGCAGTACGCGTTAACTAGACAAATTAATTATACTCAAAGCCGTCAACAGATCGAACGCGTCGAACGAGCCATGCTTCATCTATTCTTAGAAATCAATGTTATTGATCTACTGATTTCGATTTCAATACTCGGCATGCATAAAAATGTGACTTACCGGCCAACGTCGATTTATACGCGTAGCTTTAACTTTCTAATGGACGTCAATACTCGAAGATTCGAGTCGCGGCCTAATTGATGTCAATGCCTACTCCTTCTTCACTACATGCACAGTGTTTCCAGAAAAATCGCATGAAATCATCACTGTCGCTTTTTGGCCGAAGTCCCGCAAAACGACTACTCCCAGCTAGATTACCCTGCCTGAAAGCAGAAGTTCCGGGACGAAAGAAGCACTTTGTTTTTGGTCCAGTTTCATGTTACGTTTCCAGACATGCGGGGACAGGATCGTGTTCAACTCCTGGACAGAATATTTTTGGAAGCTTGAAAGTGGTGAACTCAAACGATGCAGACAACCATTATCTACCAGGCGTTCCACGTACCAGTACCCAAGTCTCCCTCGGTCGCCTCTTTACTTATCACTTCCGCACATCTGGAACATAATTTATGACAGGACGTTGTTTGTTTCAGCTATTTTCGTCGCAGTTTGTGAAACAAGTTCACGGAAAACATAACCGGGGATTGACTTTCGACCATCTGTTCATAATTCGTGCGGCTGGCTTTGAATTTCGTTCAATTCAAGTCAAGAAGTCTTCTTAACCAAATGGCCACGGCCTCTCCAGCAACCACCGTTACAGCTAACCTCACACGCGTTTTGAACGAAGAATTGTCTTGTCCGATCTGTCTGGAAGAACTTAAAGAACCTAAGTGTCTTCCGACTTGCGCTCATAACGTATGCAAAGTATGCCTCGAAAACATGGCTCGCTCTGAACCTGAAATCATTCGTTGTCCAACGTGCAGGCGGATTTCTCAGGTGCCACCCGGTGGGGTAAGCTCTCTGCCAACAAACAACGTGCTCATTAAATTCCTTGAGATCACGCCTGGAAGGCAAGAACGAATAGACATTCAGAAATCACTCGAGAAAAGTAAACCTGTGGTTGAAGAGATGGAAAAAAGGCTTGCCATTCTAGATCTCGCTTTGGATACCTTGCAAGTCGATTGGAAGAAAGCCAAAGATGACGTCCATTTGACTGCAAATATTGTGATGGAATTGGTCAGAAACCAGGAGAGCAAGTTTTCCGAGGATATCGAGGACTTTTACAGCAAGAAGCAAAAAATGCTTCAGAATCAAAGGAAGAATTTGAGTAGTTTGCTGGCAAATTCTTCAGCTTGTATTGATGCAGCTGAAGGAGTTGTCGTGAACGGGGACCCTCAAGAATTAACAGAGATGTCAAAGGTACTCACTGAACAACTCCAGGAGATAAGCATCATGAATTTTGAGGATGCTAATGAGTTGAAACACAGGTGTGGGGAGCAGCTTGAATTTTTTCCTAACCATGATTTGCAAATTAGCCTGGAGAAACACAGCATTGGTGAGGTGCGGCATAAAATAATGGAGAGAAAGTTCTCCAGTTTCAGCAACCCAAGGGATGGCTCTGACATCGAACCAATTGGCAGAGTGATCAAGAAAATTGGACATAAAGGGTCAAGGAAAGGTAATTTCAAGAACCCAGGGGGTGTGGCTTCAAACACTCAGGGAGAAATTGCTGTTGCTGATTATTTTAACAATAGAGTTGAAGTCTTCAATGAAGCTGGAAAGTTTTTGTTTAAATTTGGCAAGAAAGGTAGTGGTGATGGACAATTCCTGGGTCCAACTGGAATAACGTATACCAGGAATAACAAAATTGTTGTCTTGGACAGCAGGAATTTCAGGGTGCAGATCTTTGACAAAACTGGCCATTTCCTCATGGGCTTTGGCAAGAGAGGCTCAAATCAGGGCGAATTTGGATGGGCAGAAGGTGTTTCTGTCGATGAAAATGACAATGTTATTGTCACGGACACTGAAAACAACCGTGTCCAGATCTTTTTGCTGGATGGAACATTTGTGCGTCAATTTGGTGGGCGTGGCCCAGAGGGTTTTGACACACCATTAGGCACTGTCTATCACAAGGAAGAATTCTACACTTCTGACAAAGGAAACAATTGCGTCAAGGTGTTTGATTGCAATGGAGTGTACGTGCGGCAGTTTGGCAGGGTGGGTCCTGCTACTGGTGAATTTAGGTGTCCAAGAGGAATTGCTGTGGACAGATCGAATGACTGCATTTTGGTATGCGACAGTGAGAATAACTGTGTACATGTTTTTAAATTAGATGGTACATATGTTGTGAAATTTGAAACAAAAAAGACACCGGTTGGGATTGATCTGCTCAAAGGGAAAAAAGTAGTTGTGTCTTCATATTATGGGCATTGTGTTCAGATTCTCTCTTACAGGAGCTAGTTGTCAAACCAACAAATTACAGGATTGCAAAATTATGCATGGTTTCAGTAAATAATCCAAAGTCAACACAAGGTCATTGAAATTTCCAAATGAGAGGGGGTTGCAAAGCTACATTGTAGAATTTCCAGAGGGGTACAAGTGGATGAGTGAGACGGATATTTTCTGAAATAGCACATTGCTATATTTGAGCCTGTGAGCCTACAGTATAGACTTTGTTCTTTAACAATAAGTGCCTAGCAAGGAAACTGCAGAAATGATGGATTTTCTCATAATTTAAAGCTTGCGCAATCATTATCAAACAAATTTATGGTGCAAGCCCCATCTCTTGACTCCCAAATGTTGTAATGGTTTGTCATCATTGCCACTCTTAGCCACCGAGTGTTTTCAGTGAAAAGA